GATAACTCTGTGTTTTTTTTTTATAAAAATTAAAACAAGAAAAAAAAATAAAATATTTATAATTAATTTTTTAATAAGTTTTTAATTAAAAAATAATTACAACATTTAATAAAAATAATTAAATTTATTTAATTTATATTCTAAGTACAAAAAAATTAAATATCATTAAAATTGCAAACGGCTAAAACTAAATTAAAATATCTTTCAACTGTATCAGCTTAAGCATCGAATATTTCACATATTTTTGCTTTATTTTTTGGAATTTATTATAACTACAATCCAGAATATTAATTAAATATCCCAAAAATAATTGAGAATAATTTTAAAATTAAGCGCTTATTTGTTATATGAGAATATGAGAATATTGTTATACAGAAATGAAAACTTACCTATAAATTATTAAATATATTATGGATTAATATTTATTTTTCATAAAAGAAGATTTAAAGCCATCTATCGGAATAAATGTTTGTAACAATTTCTCTCAACTACTCCTTTAAAAACGCTTGTATATTTAGGCGAACCTTATACATATATTCTGTTATATATTCGATTGGAGTGTTAAGAAATAGGCAGAATATATAAAATATCAATGTGATAAAAAATTGTAAGAGTTTATCATAAAATTTTTAATGGAATATTTCGTATATTTAAGAAATAACTCTATTAATTTCAAATTCATTTAAATAAAATTAAGAAATCAAAAAAAAATAATTAGAACTGCAACATATGAGACTCTTGTATGTAGCAACCCGAATTTATCAGAATTAAAATAGTTATTGTAAATAGGATGACTTGCTCTTAAAAAAATATGGGGCCTCATAGATGAATGTGTTGTAATGTTACCCTATAATTGTACAAAAATATTATATAAATACCAAATAAAAGAAAATTCACAACATTTCCATCGATTCGTATGTATTTCACACACACTTGAGTAAAAAAAAATTTTTCCTAAAATAAGTATACAAAAATAATTCAATTCATGAATATACTTTCCTTATTAAATATTTTCATATTCAATATAAAATTATTATTATACAATAATTGAAAATTAAATATATATATATTTTTACGTTTATTAACGTATATATAAGATAAGGTGTGTACGATAATTAAATATTTTTAATACTATGTAAATATTTACATTATATGAAATATTACTTATTATTTACATTATTGAATTATAATTTTATTACGTTTCATTTCGCTAACATTAATTTTATGAATTATTTTCATTTTAGTCACAATTAAAGACCAATGTTGTTATGCTTGGATTCTTCAAATATGAAAATTATTAAAATTTTCACAAAAAATTTATTTGATATTCGAACGAAGGAAGTTTTTTAATAAAACTGTTAATAGATTTACATAAATACTATTATAAATATAAGAAAAATTTGGAAATATTTAAAATAGTATGAAAATTATGGAAGATCACACTAAATGATTTCGTATAAAATCTCTATATTATAGCTATACAGTAAATCTCAGTAATAGCTACAGCTAAATCCAAGTAAAAGTATATTAAATTTTAAATATAATTCAAATTTTCAGAAGCAAATAAGGAAAATGCTTGAATATTAATTTTATTTCTAATTAATTATTAAAAAAATCCTGCTTTTTTAGTCACTTTCTTTATTCACTTTCAAATCGAAATAATTGGATATATGTCATTTTCTCAACACTATTCCTCATTATTTTCTCGCAATGACAACTGCATTTGTCACTTTTAAAAACAAAGTGAATGAATGGTAATTAAATTTTGTATCGACTTACGGATTTCAAAAAAAAAATATTAATTGTCACTTGAAAATTGACGAACAAATGGATAATTACTCGTTGAGAGTAATGGATTAATAGAGTTCGTAATAAATTGCTCATTTGCTTCTCATTCAGCGAGTAAAAAGGCGAAATAAACATAATCAAACCCTGTAATATATAAATTATTTTCATATAGATTTCAAATGCTTGTACACCTTATATAAATTATAAAATTCAATTAAATAAAGTAGGTATTATATAAATTATAAGAATATGTAAATACAAATTATCTAAAATTAGCTAAAATATAGAAATTAGCATTTTCTAACATTAAATATTAAAATATACTAATTTGATTAATATATGAAATCAAGTGTACTAGCATAACTAATGACAAAATTACTAAATGACTAGAAAATTCAATTTAATACGAAATCTCCTTTGAGAATATTACTCTAATTACTATAAAATATATAATAGCTAATTAACTATATGCTATTATTAACCATTTATATGGAAAAAATATTATTTAACCCTTTTAGAAAAATTATTCAGATTTAGTATTCTACATTAATAAAAGATAATTGAAATTTCTAATTTTAATATCTAATCTAATGTGCTTATAATATTCTAAGCAGTTAATTAAATTAGTTTATTAATTCTTGTTTGACGGTACATACATGAGTTGATTTCCTCCAAATTGAACTCTTATAAATTAGATGCAAAATAATTTCATGCTGCTAATACTTTAATTTTCTGAACCACAGTGAAAAACTTATAATAATATGCTCACTTTAAGCAAAATACTTCAAATTAACTATTCGATAGTATGCTAATCTAGTCGCGTTGCTGCGATATGTAATACAGTCGGTTATTGGTAACTTAAATAGTGGTAAATTTCAATTTGATAATTTGTATTAAAAAGAAACTCGCCTAGTATTTGAAGAATTAAAAATTTGAAGCAAAGCAAAGATAAATGACAATTTTTTCTGAAAACAAATAATTTTGTAAAATTGTAGTTTTTTATCTTTTAGAATAGAGACGACCTAACAGATGAAATTATTGAAATTAATAAGTATATAGCGGTAATACGAGTAAAAGTAATTGTTATACACTTTATTTCTATTCAGATTTCTAAGAGAAATTTTTCTAGGGTTAAAATAATTAAAAAAATTATAATAAATTTTATTATGATTAAAAATGACGTACATATGAAATGGATATCATTATCATTTTTGCGTAAAAGCAATTTGCTCAAACTTTTCCTTTGAAAATCCTTTACTAAAAATGTTGAAGACTATAAAAATCCAAAATATATATGTACATAAAGTGTAGGAATGTATTTTGTAAAATTTTAAATCCTATATTCTCTCTTAATACTTTTTATACCCGTACGAACGTATGTTCGAAGGGTATACTAAATTTGCCTTACCGTTTGTAACTCTAAGAAATAACGATCTTTGATATAGCATCAAGTGTATGTTTTTGATCAGCGTCAAATTCTGAGTTGATTTAGCTTTGTCTGTCCGTCCGTCCGTCCCAACGATAACTCAAAAACTAATTGAGCTAAGTTCACCAAATTTTCACAAATGATTTATTGTAATAAGTGCCAGAACCCTATTTAAATTGGGCATGATCGGATAACTGCCGTACAACTTTAAAATTTATTTGGTTATATCTCAGAAGCTATAAAAACTGTGGTATTGAAATTTCACACAAACGAATACATTAGTAGGGCCAATGTGTCTTATAAAAATCATTGAAATTACTTGGCTCCTTCTGGCACCTGCCATACAACTTTAAAAGTTATTTGGCTATATCTCAGAAACTATAAAAGCTATGGTATTGAAATTTCGCACAAGCTAATATATTAGTAGGACCAATGTGTTTTATTAAAGTTGTTGAAATTGCTTGGCTCCTTCGGGTAGCTGTCGTACAACTTCAAAAGTTATTTGGCTATATCTCAGAAACTATAATAGCTGTGGTACTGAAATTTCACACAAGCAAATATGTTAGTAGGGCCGATGTGACTGATAAAATTTGTTAAAATTACTTGGCTCTTTCTGGTAGCTGCCATACAACTTCAGTAGTAGTTTGGCACACACAGTATTTTGAAAAACACATTGTACTGAAAATTTGCATAAATTAATATGGTAATACGGCAACTTAAAGTCATAGTCTTTCCCATAGTTAATTATGGCATCTCTATTCGCACATAGGATAACAAATTCGTACGGGTATTACAGAGTTGACAAGGTCAACTCTATTTTTTCTCGTTTTTTATTAAATTGTGACCTAAATGACAATTAAATATAAGATATGAGTAAGCTATTATACACCATTTGTATATCATTTAATTAAAATATTAAAGCCAACATAATCATTTGTATAATATTGTGTAGGTACATATTAAATACAGCAAGAACTCGCCAATATGAACTCAAAAATATGAAAAAAGATTGTTTTTGATTCTAATAATAATTGAAATTCTAATGGAATCAGAAAAAAAATTAAATTATTGCTGATTCATGAAATTTTCGGCAAAATAAATTATGATCCAAGAGTTTTTCTGTTTAATAAAATGAAAAATTAAATTTAAATAACAAAATATTAAGTAGCGCAGACCAATAACGTGCAAACAGTTATCGGTAAAACGTTAAGGACAATTCCCTGAAAATAATTAAAAATTTTATTTGACAGAACTCCATCAAATTAATCAAAATCAATTTGTTTTCCAAGGAGTGTTCATTTTAGAGGGTATTCACTTTATATATGTCAATATATAATTTATATCCAAACAAAGAAATACATAAATCACATTAATTGTTATTATTTATCAAATCGAAATAAAATTTAATTACAAATTAATTTTTTTTATTAAATTTTGCTTTCCATTTGCTTTATTTAATCAACGATCATGTTATCAGACAACCACTTTTTCACCAATTATTTAGTTATCAATTCATCGTCTTCAATTCGTCAAAAATTTCATATTCTTATCAGTAAATCAATGAATACAGTGTTGATAAGTGTTTAACATATAAAGTTAGAGTAAAGTGTTGTCACAATAAGGATATCAAGTGTAAAAATTAAATATATTAATTATTTAATGAAAAAATTTAATTCAGAATTTAAAATAAAAATCTAATTGAAAAATATTTTAAAATTTAAAATTTCTTAATGAATCAATTGAAAAAAAGAAATTTAATAAAATGAGTGTTCCGAAATGTTTGAATGATTGTCAAGCTGACATTGAAACAGAAAAAAAAAGTAATGATTTACTTATTGAAACTGGTATTCCTGGTTCTGTAATTGTAGATCAATCCGAAACAATGACAAGGAAACGTTATAAAAAGGTAAGCATTGTAATTTTTTTTTTTTTGTGCAATGCTATATAATGGGGTTTGATGCAATATTAATTGAATTATGTTAAATATTACCAACAATAAAGCATATCAAATTACGTTAAAGTATTGTAAGCCAAAAATAGCCTTAAAAGTTCTTGAATCTGTTAATATGTTAAATTAAATACCTACAAAGTTGACACACCTGAACCTCAATGTCATCTAACTTTAAATTAAAACGAAGTAAATTAAACAAAATTTTGGAAATTTGGAAAATATTTCTTAAAAAATAATTTGCAAACGCATTTTACGATTTTTAAAGTGTAATATATGTAAATATGATGAGCTAGAAAAACAATTGACGTGTTCGTAATATGAATAATTGACCTTTATGCCACCTATGTTTATATTTTAAACTCAATTGATAGTTCGCTTTAATAATGAATGTGAGAGTGATTGTGACTTAATGAAAATTAATTCAAATTAATTTATATAATCTCAACTACAATTTCTTTCAAAATTCAGTTGAAAATTTCTAGATATTTAATAATTTTGTAATTAAATTTGACCGCAAGGGCCTAATCGTCTATCTCGCTATATTATTCGGCATTGTGAGAGGAAAGTGAGTAAAATTATATATATATATAATGAAATTTTCGAGTGAGAAGAATTATTAGACAATTAGAGATATTGCGTGTCTCGTTTTTCCTCAAAATGTATATAACATATTCTAATGTATATAACATTTATTTACTTACCTTGTTTTTGAAAGTGAGACGCTCATTCGATAATTTAAGAAAAAATACAAAGCGTAGTATAAAAACTCAAACAATTTCGATAAAATTTTTGAAGAGTGGTGGCAATATTACTAAGCTGAAATTTAAATAAAAGTTTGCTTATAATTTGAAATCTTTGACACGAACCTATTTTCTAAATGGTGACCTTTACGTGTTTCAAACGATGCAGTCGAGTTGGACACATGAGTCTATAGTTACATTTTCCTGCCTTAATAATTTTGTAATTTAATCGTTAATAATTTAATCGGTATCGCCATTCTCAATAGAAGTTTCTGTCAATTTTAGTATCGATATTTTTAGTGTTTTTGTGACTATAAATTTAAGGATTAAGTGACTTAAGAACCATAATTTTGTTTGAAAATATAAAAAATTAATATTTAAATGTCTTCAACAGCTAAGTTATTTTAAAGTAACTATTAGCCAAAGTAAAAAGAAGAAAAAGTATAAAAAAATATATTTTTAAATCTAGTAAGTTCGGAATGTCAAAAACTAAATATTGTAATACAAAATTAAAAATTCATAATTAATACAAAAATTTTTTTTTTTGGAATTCACAAAATATCTAGCTAAAGGAAACCCAAAAACCTAAATTAAAATAAAAAAAAATTGTTTAAATATGAAATTTTTAGATTTTATCATGGAATTATTTAAAAATTCGGTAGAACTTTTAAAATATGCACATAGCTTTAATTCAAATCAAAATTTTTAATGGAATATGTTATTCTTGGATACAAGCCGCATAGTGATCAAAAGAACTTATATTCCCTGAAGTTCAAAATATGTAAATTATGATTTGGGAGGCAACCACTGTATTAATATTTCCGAAATGGCCATAATTTATAATTTAATGAATGAGGAGTAATGATAATGTCAAAAGAAGTAATGTTGGATAGGAAAATAAGAATACTATAAAGCAAACATAACCCAATTAGTTACTTAAATTGTTATAGTTACTTCAAATCCAAACGGAACAATATTTAATTTTTATTTGAAATGGGACTTAGGTCACATCCCAATAGTGACGCACTTCATAATATGTGGTCCGATTTAATAAAATTTTCAATATAGAAGATCATTTTCTAAATATTTAATTATATGTATATGTATGTATATAAGTAATTTATTTATTGTTTCTTTTAGTTTTGGCTGATGACACTGCCATGGAAAATAATGGAAGAAGATAAATTAAAATCATCAGAATTACAATCAATTTTAGATGATGGAAAAAATTCAAAAGAAGAGAAACCACAACATGATGCAAATGTTTGTTTATTAATTGATAGCCCATATCGTATTTTAAGGGTAAGTGAAAAAATTTTTAATAATTTATTTTTATTTGTAATCAAACAGTAGTAAAAATTGGTATTTTGAAATTCATTTGGAAAGATTTTTTGCTGTTTTTGAAAGTTGTATGTAAAATTTTCTTTAGGCTTAATTAAATTTAATATCTCGAGTAATTTGAATTCAATGATTCATATATAAACTTTAGGTTATAAAAATCGTATTATTGCATTATATATGGAATTCGCAAGAATAGTGAGCCCATCTTAATCTTAAAATTTACTCATTTTACAATTTCTACATTCTTTTCTATATTCCATCACTCTTTGGTATATTTAAAACGCATATACACTTATAATTTTATAGTTTTAAGCAAACATTGACTAAGCCAAATTTAATATAATATCATTTAGCCTATTATTAGCCCTTCGATATTCCCATAGCATTATTACCAATTCGATTCTACATCTACCAATTCTAATTCCCGTAATTTAATTCTATACTCGATAATATGAATTAATAAAAGTTCAAATTGTTTTCAATATAAAATCGAAAATTTTTGAATTTAAAGTACATTTTCAGACAGATTTTTTCATATAAGCCTACTTTCTATATAATGTGGCTGAAAATAAATAATTTAAAAATTTCATACGAATCCTTTTTTTAAATTACACAAAACCAAACGAGTAATAGGCCAATATTACAAGCTATGTAAAAGCTGATATTGAAATAAGAAAAAACAAATAAAAATTTAAAAGCTTTTTTTTCCCAAAGGAATCTTTCTTTTTTGTTATAAGAAATAATTTTTACCACGCAATATCCTTTAATAATAATAATTTTTTTTTTACGGTAGCACGAGATTCTTAAAATTTTTTCGTTTTCTTTTATTGCTTTACTCATTACTTAATAAAATAAATGCAATATGTATGTGTATAATTGTGTGTGTAAATTTATAAGAAAATTTATTTTCCTCAATATAACCTCTTCTTAATACCTTATTGACTTTCGAAAAGCTTATATAAAGAGATCTAGTAAATTAACAAATTTCAGTCATTTTCGGCATTTCAAATTGATCGGTGTTTCAAAATATTGTTTAATTTTACCGAAATTTTACTTAAAATTAAAAAATATTTTCTTCAAAATTATTCAAATTTTTATTAAAATATCAATAAAAATTAAATTTCAATTAAAATTTAAAATATAATTAAATTGAGTGTAAAAATATTAAAAAATGCAAAAATAATTTGCATATAATTAATTTCTTGCTTAAAATAAAAATAAAGTGGAATAAATTACTTAAAATTAAATAAAGAAAAGATAATTATTAAAAATCTTAAAATATTTAAAATTTTAAAAATTAATTATTTATTATAAATTTCTGAAATTTTTTATAGAATTTAAGAAAGTGAGTTGATTTTTTTTCTTCTCTAAAAATTACAAATATTTTTATTTAACAAAAGGTCAATATAGCGTCGAAATCAAGTAAATTAAATTCAAAAATAAAATAAAAAATAAAAATTGAATTTAAATAAAATTTAATATAGCACTCCCCAAGGAGTAAAAATATAATATTTACGACGCTAATTGCTTTCATAAATGTAATTTTCTTTACATACAGGGTTTTCCATATGGAGTTTATTGAGTAATTTATTTAATTTATTTAATTATTATAGATTAATAAAATTATGAAATGAAAATTATTTTATAAATTTTCAAATTACAGAAACAATTGAATTAAAAATTGAAAATTCGGCTAAAAATTATAAATAAATAAATATTTAAATTAATTGCTACAAGCTTATATATCAAAAATTTATTGGAGTAAAAATCCATTTGAAGTCTATAATTTAGTAACTTAACTTGAAAATTGCGGTAATATTGTATTAATTAACAATTCAGCAATTACAACTCATAAGCTGAATTTATCCCTGACATCGTTTTTATAATATCGATACACAATTCAGCAATTGGTATTTATAAGCTGAATTCTGTATTAATAAAATATTATTACAATTCTGATCTCAGGGTATTAATTAAATTTTAAAGTCAGATGTAATAATATGATTTTTGTAAAATCAATTCAGCATATAATACTTAAGCTGAATTTTTCAACATTATGCCTTAGCTGAATAATTTTAAAGTAACTACTGTAATGTAGCACTCAAAAATATTCAAATCTAAAAATGATTTATATTTTTCTTGTGGAACACTCTGTATATAAATATTATTGAATCTTATATAAACTCTTAATACACCCCATATATTGTATATTTTGCTATAAATTTTTTATTTTTCTTAATTATATTATTCTTAACACTATCAAAATTAATAGAGGTCTAAAGCATTGTAATTTTTTTTTTCTTTTAATTTGAATTTCGTAATATTATTGCATGCTAAATTTTATCAAGGGATTTATTAATAAAAATTTATTTTGTCAGATATTTTAATGAGAATTTACGAGTCATTTTATTAGGTACATAATACTTCTATATAGATAATTTTGAATATATACTATGTATAAATGAAAGTATGTGATATTATACTTGTATATTGCAACAATATTCACAATTAAAATATTCGAATTTTCTATGTATTCATTTACAATTAATATTCAAAAACAATTTACTTAAATTAGTCTTGCCTATTTAAAATTCCACCATTCTAAATTATTTTAATAGTTAAATATTGTTGCATGATGCATATTAATTAAATAATAAATTATAAATTAGATATTTAAAATTATTTCTAAATCAAATAACAAATTACGTTAGGTAAACATATGGGACTAATTAATTGAAATTTGCTTTTGTTAAAATTTTGAGGAAATTAACGTAATATTTTATTTATTTATTAACATTTTATTTATTAAATAAATATTAGGTAGCTAATTAAAATATAAAACAAAAATTATTTGATAATTAATTAAATCAACATAAAATTGCATATATTTAGGGGTAAATACAAAATAATTACAAAAATATTTTTAATCGTTGATTTTATATTTTTTTTTTTGTTTTGTTACCTTGCAAGAGATTATTTGGAATATTAATGTTAATATTTTAATATATGCTTGAAAATTTCTGTCCCTATTACAGTGTAGAGACGAAGCTGTAAAATATTTTCTTCTGTGTGATTAAATTTAATGCCGAAATCAAAATTTTTTATTTTTTATTTGAATTATCAAAATATTTAAGATTATTAATTCTAAATGTAATTTAATAATTATCCTTCTTTGCACGATTTTTTTGGATCAGTAAGCTTGTAATTTTTAGGTGTTTTTATGACATTATTATGAATGCGAGTATGCATTAGGTTATTTTACGAAAAATCTATTGTTTTCCACGTTCTAATTATATTCCCGTTGCATTACTGGAAAAATATGCTTCCTACTTGACTGGCCCTCTTTGATCTTTCTGATATTTTAGTATAATTACCAATTCACGAAGATACGTTACTCTTTATTCCTATTTATTAGTAATTACAAACCAATTGCAAGAATTACTGAATTCTGACTAATTCTTTTTATTCTTATTGTATATTTCCGTTTACCTCTACTGGCCATACTATTTAATTGCAAAATTCAGATTAGCTTTTATCAAATTTAATCAAATTTGTTCCAATAAACGCTATAAAACTGAAATTGATATAAATTTATAAATTTTGAGTTTTTCATTATTAGAGTCAAATTTTTAGCCGACATTCACTTTTATGTTTATGAAATAACTCGTCAATAAAAATTTTGGGCAAACTTTTTCTTATTCGTTCCGTATTTATCAGTCACAAATATATTATTCTGAATTTTTAGCCTTTATCCACCATAATATTATTTAAAATTTGAGGAGATTTTTTTTTTTAATTAGATTGTATGAGAAAAACTTCCTTAACAGCATTCGACTACTACTCAAACTCTTTTAATTTTCTTCAAAAATTTTGAATATATTTTCAATTTTAAAATGATTGAGAATCTTCCCACACAAAAATTTTAAACTTCCTTCATCATTTATTATATAGTCAAATATTATTCAAAAATATTTCATAAAACAATATTAGAAATTAAACAGAATTCTTTTTGAAAAACATAATCTTTACACTTTCATCATTTTTATATTGCCAAATATTTGAAATTTTCTATAAAAATTAAAATAATTTTTATAGCCCAAAGTAAAAAAGATTAAAAAATTTTCAAAATTTTTCCAATTCAATACACCAAATTCAAATGTCTCATTCAAATTCCATAATCGAAATTTTGTAGAATATTTAATACCATTGACAAGTACCAATATTGATTCTTTGTTCCAGGAAATAGAAAAATTAATATAAAATATTTGAGAGGATTTCTTTTTTTTTTTTTTTTGAAAAATTCATTTTCAAGTTTACAAGAACATGCATATATATCTTATTGTATGTATATGTAAAGCACAGGATAACTGATAATTCCAGGAACTTATGATATGCCTCCACTTCTACATACGTCCTATTTATATACTATAAGTTGTTTAATATTAAAGTTAATAAATGTCATTTTTAAATGTGTTACTGTAAGGGAAAAATGATGTTACGATTCTTTTTAAATTAATATAACACTCCAAGTTACTCTGGAGTAGTCGGGAGTAAAATTTAAATACAACGATACTTTGTACGGAAATCGTATTATACAAGGAACCTATAAATTTAAATATTGAAGATTCATTTGCGATTATTTCCCTTGTATATAGATGTGAAGCTATCTACAACAAATGTTCGTGACTGCTTCTGTTAAGTGTTCCTTTGCATATGCAGATATAGTTTAGAATGTTCCCAATTACTTTAGAAGTTTCAACTTTTATTCACCTTTTAGCATATTTCAAATTATTTCCAAAATCTAGAAAGCTATAAAACTGAAAAAACCGCCTGATAGTCGATATAAACATGAGAATTCCAATTCTATTAAAAAAAACTAACCTAGTTGCATTAAATCGTGAGATTTCAAAGGTCAGTTTTTGACCAGTTTAAGACATAATGATAATTTCTTCCGAAACACA